ATCTTGATTATTTTGGATTTTGTTCCGCTTTTTATCAAAGTACCCGAAAATTATGCTTATTATTTTGCTTCACTTGAATAGGTACAGGTATGCGTGGTGCGTAGCATCCTTATGTGTATAGCAAAGTTATTAAAATTGCACATACAACCTTTTTAAGAATTTAAAGTATAACTAGACCTATAAGAAAGCAAGAATAGGCGAAGCGGGCGCACTCTCAACTGCAAGGAATGCATAAATGGAGAGCTTCACGGATCCAGGTCTTTGCATGCGATCTCTTTGAAATTAAACTGAAGTAAATGCAAATGTTTTTGACAGCTGAAGTTGGGTCACAGCATCGCATGAAAAAGGAATGTAATGGAGCCAGAACACAAAAGCTAGACAGAAATAACAAAAGTCTTTTACGAGGTCAGCATTTTATTGTCGAGATAGTGGACCAAAATGAATGGAAAACGTTGGTCATCATGACACCACAAAGGAACTACGGATTACTCTGTACACTCAGAAAATGTCAAAACAGGGAATCAATTTAACTACATATACAACGTAAAGAATTAGGATTGGAATTTTGTGCTACTCGCATGTCTGGAAGGACAACTACAAAATAGTGGTTGTCTTTGGCGAAAAGTTAAATTTTGATGGCTTCAACGGATTTAATAATAATTGTCATAATTTTTGAAAGGACGAACGTGTTTTGTTTCCCTTCCAAGATCAAGAAGAGAGTATGGCGGTCTGAACCGCGATTTCGTAGTCTAAAGCAGTTCATATAATTACGAATAATTCATGCAAAAACAGTATTAAGGACATTTTTTAACATTTGTCGTTTATTTTCGCACCTTTTTCTTAAATATGCTTGCAAAAGTACGCACCGATACGCACGAGGATAACGAAGCAAAGTCATATTTTTTTCTTTCCGGCGATTTAAGTGATAAGCAGCGAGATGTCCTTCATTTTTCAAAGCGCCTCTATTATTGTCTTCCGGATAGGGTTTTTTCCATAATTTTTCCTTATGGAATTAAGGATTTAGTACCCAATACTAAAAGTGTTATATAATGGAATTAAAATTAATGGTATGCTTTTGTTGGCCCTTTCTTTGCGTTAGAGTCACTGTGTCTATTCAAGTGAATCAAAATAATAAGCATTATTTTCGTGTATTTTGGTAAAACGTGGAATAAAATCCAAAGTAAAAGTGGTGTTTGCTCCATTTTCACCGCTGTTCTTTGAAATTGATCATTGATAAGATTGAGAAGAACTTCTCCGATACCCACAAGTCCAGATATAAGCTTTAATCTTGAGGAGGTAAAAATGTGTACCTATCCAAGTGAACCGGACTGCATGTATATAGGTTATTCCTGAACTTTTTCGTAACCAGCACTGTGCTGATGGCAAACTTACGTTATGTTGCACATCGCTTAGCGTTGTCGTTCATGCTGAACTTTTGCTTTATCTGTATTTGTCAATTTCCTTTTCATGCTAATTTATATGCGGCTATTGAAATTCTTGAATCTTTCTGTGCGCTGGTCTATAACAAGCGGCCTTTTCTATTGTATATAACCCATATACACATATACGTACATATGTACATATGTATCTATTTATAATTCAGCCCTTCTGTTTCTTTATATTCCTACATACAATCTTACCGAAATTAAAGCGAACCAATCAGTTTTGCGTAAGAAAGATTAAGGCGTTAACTTTTGTATACCAAAACTTTTGGGCTTACACTTTTTTGTTGCAAGCTCATCGCAAGTCTTGAAAATGATTAAATTTTCATAAATTTTTTTCTAGAATTTCTCTTTTTTATATGCGCACAATTCGAAAATCTTGCAAAAGAAAATTAAATTAACCCATACCAAAGTAAGCAACTTTTAAGCGACTATTACCTAAAGGCATATTAAATTTTCATTCAGAAAACCAAATACTTAATGCAAGCTGTGTAATTTAAATGTCTTCTGGCCAAGTTGCTGTGTATGTATGTATGTACATGTACATAATTTGAGTTGCTTGAAGAATTTGTGCTCATTAAGGCTTAAATGGCAAAATAATGAAATTGCTCTACGTAATCGGCTGCACAAACACAAGTGATTATATGGTCAAATGAAAATATACTGTTAGTATTTTCGTTTTTATTTTTGTGTTTATTGTGAAGCCACAAAATTTCCAATTTTCAATTTTATATTTGATTATCCACTCTGTTCTGCCTTATGCTATGCTCCATAGAAGAAACTCATTCATTGCTTTGCCATCGAACTTATTTGGCAGAGTTTAGCTTTTGTGGCTGGCTGGCTGTCGCAATGCGAATATTGCAATTTGTTGTTATTGAACTTTTTGTCTTCTTTATGTAACTACGTACAAGGTTTGGCTTGCAATTTTTTTTGTTGTTTTTTCAGTTTTGGTTTGGTTACTTGTATCAGGTCGTTGGAAAAGTTATTACTGACCGGCTGACTCCAGCCATGTTAAAGGTCTGCAGCACAAAGCCATCAAAATTGACTTTGCTGCGTCCAAATCAATATCCTGTCTGCCTTAATTTATTTTCCGATTCGCCTATAATTTCAGTTTTATTTTTTTCCCCCTGCTTTTTTGCACACAAAATGCAAACTATGTTGGCAGTCACTGGGGTATATACGCGCGTGTGTATGTATGCATGACTATGTATTGGCAAAGGCTTGTCTGTTGGATATGGTCAGTTTTTCGGAGGAGTAGCCATTTCCTCTTTGTTAGTCTAGCCGGATATCTGGAGTTTCCTGGCTCCTGTACATGCCTCCAAGTCACAAATATAAGGTAGAAAAAATGTGTTGCTAAAAGCAATTTATCGATTTATGGCTTAATGAAGTTTTCATGCCACTATTTCCTTTTCTAGTTTTCTTTCTTTAATTATGTAAAGTTGCCTCTCCTATTTGCTGTAGGTAACATTCAACTCTAAACTGGCTATTCCAAAAAGGCATATAAGGACCACCGCCATTTGCTGTGCCGTTTATCATCCTGTGTAGCCCTTCAACAAAAAAAAAAAAAAACTAAAGCCGTATAGACCTTACAGCTAAATATCAAAACACCTTTTATTTCGAATGCTTCCATTTTGTACTGGAAATGCATTGATAGCTTTTAATCACAACAAATATATTTTCTCGCAATATTTTAAATATACATATCGTCGTTTAAAGTACAAAACCGCGTATCGACAAAATGCAAAACCACATACGTGAGGCTTCAAAAATTATTAATATATTATATATAATTTTGTAAAATTACTTTTATAACATTTAAGATTTTCTTTTTATTTTATTTTTTCATTTTGGGAGAACTCTATAATTGTTTTCAACTAGTTTTTATTATGTAACTTTTATTAATCCGTTTTCTTCAAAATTGCTAATTTTTCTGCACTTTGCACTAAAAAATTTAATACAAACATACAAAAAAAAAATCGGGCTCATCTGGTCTCTTGCAAACTTTATTAGCTTTCATTAAAAGAAATTAATCAAATTGAGTGAAAAATGAAAGCTCCAATGAACTGTGAACACTTAATTCCAGTTTTGAACCATTGTGCACTGATGGGTCTTTTTATTTTTCTTAAATAGAGAAATCAATCGGAGAGCAAAACTTTCGTCCTCTAAACCCTACTCATAATTATAGCTCGTTGATGACTTGCAGGCAGCTGTCTACTTTCTAGGGGACTGACAAATATTTATGTGCCAAAAGTTTTCTATCGTAAGCCTACTTTCTTGTGCATTTTCAAAGCTATTTCTAACATGTGAGACGTGAAGTCGATGACATGCGAAACAAACGTGTAAAGGTTCTGGTAAACGATATGGATAATTCTCATGGGAATAGTAATTCACTCTCATTCTCGCTGTCTACTTAATAATAAAAGTATATATATTTACTCTACGATGAGAGTAAATATCCATTCTCATGAGGGTGAAGAAGTCCTATTCTCATGAGAATTGTTCTCATCGTTTGCCAGAACCTGCTATGGCTTGAGAACAAGTCAGACAGTATGTATGGACCAATGTTTTGTTGGAATCTATATACTTAAGCAATTTCTACAGCAACCATGTCCCCAAAGGATTTGCGTTAGGTGGAAGTTAAGGTGTTTGCCTACCTGACGTTGTTCGGTATGAGTCTGTGTTGCCAGAGATGCTTTGACAAGGGCCTCCAACGTTTATGTTACATTAAGAGGCTCTTCTACTTTTTGGTCCGACTTTATTACATATGCACGTCGCGGATGTCTTTCACACATTCTTTAATATTTAATGATTTAATATTTACTACCGACCAAGTGTATAGAATTAGCGAGTTTACGACCCGAGTGATTAGATCTCGAGCAAGAGAAGAGATAGCGAACAAATTAAGATTAAAAACGGTAGTACCGATTTTTCTTTGGGAAAACTTTGCAAACCCCGTAAGTGTTTTGCAAGACTAGGAGAATAACCCTATCGGGCTTGGCTGATACATTCATACTATGTGTGTACTATGTATGTATGTATTCCTTCAGGTGACTCATGCGATGTGTTGTCCATTCAACATTGCTCACTTTTTAGCTTACTACATGCAAAAGCACTTACATATGCTTATATATGTACATGTATGTAAATATTTAAGGTTAAGTTACAGTTCGATAAGCCCATATTGAATCACACAGCATGCGATGAAGCTTAAAGCGCTTTACTAGCAAAGCATTCGTTACGAATACTCGCGCCATGAGCAATGCCTTGTGTTATTGCAGCTGTCAAGCGGTTAAGCTTTTCATATCCAAGCGTTGATAAATAGTTACACGCAAATCTACATATGCACATATTTATTGTTGAATTTTGGAATTGTGCCTTTTGAATTTTAATCTTCAAATATGGCAGCTTAGAAAGTTTTAATATTATTTAACTCGCCTCTAACAAAACATCATACCAGTGAATTTATGAAAGTCATTACAACTTTTTTCATGCATTTTAAATGGATGTTCAAATAACATATTCGCATTTATTTACTATACTTTTTTCTCAACTTTACAGATGTTCTGCTCGGCAGCACTGAATACTCGACATCGCTGGATATGTGGGGCGTCGGTTGTATATTTGTGGAAATGGTAACTGGCATGCCCACATTCCCCGGTATACGTGATACATATGATCAACTGGATAAAATATTTAAATTACTCGGCACACCCACTGAGGAGACGTGGGCGGGTGTAACACATTTTCCTGGTTATAAACCGCATAAATTAGGTAAGTTTTATTGGCTTAGATGTGGCTTGTTGATTAGAGTGGAAATTGGAAATGGTTTGGTGAGGTTGTGTTTCAGCACAACGACCACTAGCATTATTTGTATTTCTGTGAAGCACAGAAGCTTTATGAATAATATTTTTAGTATAATGCATTTTTTTGTGGTTTTATTATTGGTCACTCATCGTTTTATTTTTTTGCACCTTTCATTTAATGTAGGTTTTTATCGACCCCGCAAATTAGGTCACAATTTTCCTAGACTCTATGACATCGTTGATGGTGAGACGATAGCGAATGCCTTCCTGCAATTAAACCCAGAGGAAAGAATAGGAGCTGAAGAGGCGCTGCAACATCCATACTTTGCGCCGTTGCCGCGAAAACTCTATGAGTTGCCCGATGGTGAGTAAATTTGTATTAATCGACAACGAAAGTTTAAAATTAGTAATGGGTAAAGCTCGTTATTCATTTTCTGTGGTCTATTTATTTTCTAAACGCTGCCTTGGGAGCATTTACGTTCAAAAAAAATTTTATAAAATACCATAATTTTTCGCTTTCAAGCGTAGCAAAACCTTAGATGTATCCTCAAAAGAGGAATTAATAATAAAGTTTTCACAAAGTTCATAAAAACCTTTGCAAATACACATGAAAAAGCTAACAAAACAAACAGACGAGTTTGTAGCTGTGCAGCTGAGCAATGCCAACGACAGCTAATAGTTCCTTTATTTGCTGTGAGCATCGTAAACTCATTTCAAATTTTAAATTGACATAACCATTGTCACCGTTAAATGAAACGACTACGTTTACGAATTTTCACCATTTAGCCGCTTATAAATATGTACATACAAATGCATACATATATAATGTGCATCAGGGTGCCACACTCTCCATACAAAAAAAAAAGAGTGGGTTGGTGCGGGCTATCACTCCGCAGGGGCTGGGTTCAAGCCCTTGTCAAAGCAACACCGCAAAAAAATTTAGAAAAAGGGGTTTTTCTTAACAGCGGTCGCCCCGCGGCAGGCAATGGCAAACCTCCGAGTGTATTTCTGCCATGAAAGACAGCTTCTCATAAAAATACAATCGGCGTAAAACTGTAGCTACCTCCCGTTTGTGTAATAATAGCAACGCGGTCGCCACAAATCGGAGGAGAAGCTCGGCCAAACACTAACACATTATGTAAACGCCAATCTAAAGAAAATATGCCATCGGCATTATAAAATTTATTATATTTTAAGACTGCCGCCAAAATATTTCGGAAAAACATTATGATTTATATTTACTGGACTCATTTGAAAAAAGCTCAAAAAAACTAGTTTTCGACAAATAAAATTTGTTTTCAAAAATATTTTTAACAAAAAATCACCACAGATAAAAGAGTTCTGCCTAAAAATGTTCAAAAACTGTATCAACGGAATGAAAATAATTAGATTTTTGGATTTATTTTTAAATCTGGCTAGCTCACGGAAATCTTAATATCCTTCCGATATATCGTGGCGGTATTCTTAGAATATAATAAATTGTCTAATACCGGTGGAAATACCACACTTTTTTGGTACCAAAACTTTTTTTGCTGAACCACACTAATGTATGTATGTACATATGTACGTTGATCAAAGCAAATGTAGCAAAACTTTGAATAAAACAAAAATAAAACCCTTATAACTACATGTAGTTACAATAAAAAGATCATTACATAATGACAGTTGACAGAACTGCTCGGAAATAGTAAGAAGTTTTGCAAAAGTTTTCGCAAGCAAAGTAATTTAATTAAAAAGTAAAACATTTACTCAGCTTATTCGCGTTAAGACTGCTTTTCAACTACACACAGTAGTATGGCTGGTTGAATATTGTCAGTAGTTGGCTGATGGCTCTTGGCTGTTGGCTGTTGGCTGCTAAAGATTGGCAGACAGTTGTGTAAATATCGGAGGATGCATGACTATTGTATGTATTTATGTGTGCATGTATGTATGTATGCAGATGCATTTAAATTTAAGAATACCTACATATAATACTTGCACCCACAAAATGTTTTTTTATCTGGCGATGGAGGCTGATTTAATTCTGATATACATATAGCTTTCGGGTTTTTGAATCAGTAATAAAAAAAAAAATTTTATATCGCGCAGGCCACAGTCAAATCGCAGGAAAATGCGTGGGAGGGGGAGTACCTTTGACTACCATGTAGACACTTCGGAAAAGGATGGCAAACCCCTTAAAGATCTGGATCCAGGATTTACGATAATTTTAATTGATGGTATGAAGCGTAACTACAAGATTGATACTGGGATCTACTGCCAATAGCTGTCATCGAACCTCAGCCTACACAGTAGGCAGCTACCTCCCATACTGAATTTACAGTAATAAAGCAAGCCAGCCGAAAATATCTTTGAGGAGGATTGTCATCTCTTTCAAAAATTAAATTGATAAGATAGACTAAATCTTATATTATAGGTATGAAACTAAAGCGGATTGAATTCACTCGGTGGGCCACCGAAAATATTTTTGAGGTGGGCTGCCACCTGTTTGGAAATTTTAAATTGACTAAATTGCTAAGATAATTTGAATATTACAATATGGGTATCAAACTAAAAATGTTTTAAAAGACTTAAAGCCGAAAATTTTTTTGTGAAGAGTTGCCACCTGTTTAGAAAATAATTTTATTTAATCGATAAGATAAATTAAATATTAAAATATGGGCATCAAACTAAAGATATATGACAAATCTTTGATTAGAAATATTTTCAATGGAGTTGTCACCTATCTAAATAGTAAGAACTAAAAATAATGAAACTAAGTGAAATATTACAAGATTGCTGACAAATGAAGAGGTTTGAAGAAAGCTTTACTAGACATCCTTTTTATAAAGTTGCAACCTATCTAAAAGTCGTAAAAAAAATTTTTAAGAAGAATATTATCAAATACCCGACGTCCTTCGCTGCGCCTTCAAAGTATTTTTGTGTTGTTACTGCTTCTAAAAACAGAGTGTATCCAAAACTGGTATGACCTTATTCATGAAAAACGATTTGAAGAGCTTTATGAAGTGGGATTTTAATAAACATTTTCGATTTATAAAGTTTTTAAAGTCTTCTTTAATTTATTTTTTTCGAATTTGGGTGTTAGTTATTATGAATACGTGTATGTACGTTTGTATATCAACATAAAAAGACCGAGTTGCTAGCGCTCAAATAACCTTCCACCGTGTATCGTTAATTTACGGTCAATTCTGCTGAGCTTACTCACTCATATCCGCATGAATTTCCCCTCAGGTTTCCACTAACAACATAATTAAAAGCCAATCAGGTGCTCATATATTACATTGCTTCCGATTATTTACAACAGAGCAGTGCTTCATTCGAGGTGGACTTCTTAAATGCACACCCATATCGTAAAACAAGTATAATACATAAAACCAAAGTACCTACCATTTTATCATTACCACAAATCATCGGTAAATCCAGCGACTAAGTCACTTCATTACGTTGTCCGAATGGAGTGACTCCAACGGGCAGCAGCGAGTACTAAAAAAGCACTTTCCAGCAGCCAGCAGCCCAACAACCCTGCCATTGCATTGGAGCGAGGCAAGCACAATTGTAGGGAGCAAATATGCCAGTAGCTGGTGAAATGCGACGCAACGAATTTGTATGCTTCACATATGTATGTATGTATGTATTTATAACAATTCACTTGTGTGCTTGCGCGCCAGTTATTTGCTGGTGTATTGTATGCCAATTGCACCAAATCCTAACCGTCTCCTCACAACACAATCAGCAGCAAATACGCACATAACAATTCCGAAATGCAACTCGAATTTGCAAACTGTCGTAAACACTCATAAAACATGCGGTGTAGCCGCCGCCGATAGTGTCATTCGCAGTGCAATGCAATGGTGATCTGCTGGCAATAATGGTGCCACAAAACGAAGGCAGTAAGTTCGTTGGAATGGATGGTATTGCGGGCGGGTAGTTGCTAGAGCGTATGCTTTTGCATGTATGCAAGTATGTATGTATGAATGTGTGCAATGCGCTTGAATTTGGGTTTTTGTGCTACGACTAGCGTCTGCGCTACCCTGCTCTACTGCTTGCCTAATTGTGGGTGCACCAGGGCGTATGCGGCACTCGCGTGTTTACTCCCATTTCAATGACGCAGCTCTTGAGGCAGGTAATGGTTTGCGATTTTGCTTTTGTAACACTCTCATATTGCTGCAAGTAACAACAAAAAAAAAACACCGCTTTGTGCATATTTTGGCGCCGAAAAACGTCGCTCCCAACCAACGATCTATTGCTAACCAATGGCTACGAATGTGCCACTAATATGAGCAGGAAGTGTGGAATAGAGTAATGTAGTTCCTAGTCTATTTTCATATGCACTTTGCCGACCGACTTCGTATATTTGCCAGACGTTTGCTGTGTGTTATTGCTGTTGTTGCTGTTATTCATTCATATGCTCGAAGAAGTGTTTGTAATAGTCGGTTACGATTTCCCATTCAGTGTTCGCTTTTTGCTGGTGTTTCTGTTTTCCAATTTGCATTTAATGCTTCGTTGACTCGCCACTGCGTTACCACCTTGGCTTGCTCGTCTGCCTGCCTGCGTGCCTGCGTGCCTGCCTGCACTTGCATTTGCTGCTGCTTTGTACATATTTCGGCAATGATGTGCAAACTTTTGTGCAAGTTGCTTGTTTCTCTGCTGTTTTTCGTTGTCTACAAAATTTCTTGTTTGCTACTTTACTTTATGAATCGGCAAGTAGTTAGGTGCATATGTTAAGATATGTACTTTTTGTAGTTATTTAGGAAATGAATTGAATTTCGCTTTGCTTAATGCCTTCATTGCACAATTTAATTAATGTTTTTTTTTTTTGCTTTTGTAATTCCAGAGGTAGACATGCAGTCGAAAGCTTAAGAAAACTGTGTGTGGAAAGAGGTTTTTTTTATTTTACGCCAGAAATTTGCCAGTTTTTCTTATTTATTACACTTTTGAGCATAAAATAAAATTAATGAATTTGGCATATTGAATAACGTAGTGAAGCATATGAGTACTAGTAATGTCTTTCCTCGAGACTGCCAGTTTCGTTATACATACATACATATGATTTCGTTGTTCTCCGATTTCTTGCGGAGCTGTGTTCACATGAGCTCATATTTACTCGCCACAGTCTTTCGAAAGTCTACTTGAAAGATCCGCTAACGATGAGGTCTTAAAGCCTGATTATGGCGACTTAACTTAACAGAACTTAGAACTTAGAAAATCAAAATGAAACAGATTTCCATGTGGCATTAAGTTACGTTAGGTTTCGGCTGCTCAATTATAAGCAACATCCATTTAAGAGAATTTTTAAGTGGGAGCATGTAAATTACGATAAGTTGCCATAATCAGACCATTGGCGATATGCCGTTGGCCTTTTAGCAA